AGTAACCTGTCTCTGCATGTTAGAGAGGTTCCTTCTCAGCCTGCTTTTAAAACTTGTCTAAATACCTATTTTTAGTATTCAGCTTCCAACATCAGTAATAGTTTGGCCTTATTTATTCTTTTGTGTTTTGTTTTGTTTTATTGCACTTAATTTTTGTCAGTCATGCTATATTTGTTATATATGTTTTTCTTTTTAATGTATATTTTCAGTATGCAGTTTTGTGCAGCACTTAGTTTCCCCTGTTCTTTTGAAGTGCTTTATGAATAAAGTTGATGTAGTATGATATTTAAAGTAATTTGATGATGTGAAACATGCAAGTGTAAGGAAAAAAAAGCAAAAAAAAAAAAAAAATCCTGCGAGCTGGCAAATATCTTTTTATAGCACCGTATATTTAGTTTTAAGCTGCTGCAGTTTTAGTAACAGGGATTTACAGCATGGTTGCACTGTGAAATAGTGGTTAGCGATGTAACCGCATAACTAAATTGTCTTAAGTTCACATCTCTGGTGTGTTTTCCTTCCTTCTCAGTGGAAGTGTGTTTTCAGTTCTGTTTTCTTCCACAGTCTGAATGCATGCCTGCTTAATTTGTTACTGTGAATTAATCTTAGTGGTTAGTGTGCATGGATGCCTGTCTTGCACCCAGTTGCATTGTTTGTGTTTTAGTGTTGACTCCATGTTTTATTTCTTGAGTGCTGGAAATAGACACTTCAACTCTAAGAAATGGAGGAATCATAAATTAAAGGTCAGCTGCATGATTTTACTAGCTCAGGTGGTGTTGGCAAACACAGAAGCTGTATTATTTAATGCCCTACATGGGCTACAGACTGCAGTCTGCTATCTCCGATTTCTATGAAGCCAAGCATCAACATAGAAGTTATATAACATCCCAAACTCTTATAAGTTAAAGCGCAGAGCTGTTATTTTGCAGCCAACAGGCAATAAAAGCATCAAACACGATTAGAATGTTAAACAGAGAAAGAGAGGGATGTTCTGAATACACAACAGTGTGTATTTGTCAGTTTGTGATATTTATGTGATCATTGCAGTATTCATTCTGAAAAATGAGACTGCTCTCTAGGTGAGTCCTTCATCCATCTTCTGTGAAATGTTTATGCCAAATTCAGATTTTGAATGCATTTGAACATGTGAGTGGTCCTTGCAGACCAGAAAGATAAAGTGAACAAGTTCTCCAGAGGGGAACATTAATAACACGATGAAAAGACGAATTTCTTCAGTTTCTGCAACAATGAATCTCACCACAGAGATTTGGCACCAAGAACCCTGACAGTAAGCAAGATATGTTGCTGTGATTAATACCTCTTCCATTAAAAATCATACTTCTTCACCCCTTGTGCCCCTGCTCATAGTGTAGGAGACGTGAGACAGGATAGAAGAGCCAAGCTAAAGAGCTAATATCCCTCATTCATAATAATCAATATAAGGTTGACAAAGGTTCTGCAGCAAACTGTGGAAAATTGTAAAATATGTGCCGCCTACTCAGAAACGGTACTACATACTAAAATACACCACAAACTCACAAAGGTTGACAAATCATTATTGGAAAACACTTTAGATCCACCTGTGTACAGTGTCAGGTTGGATTTCATTGTAGAGACAAAAGAAAATAAATGGTTAAATTCTGTATGTTCTGTGAGTAAAGACACTTTTCCAAGGTTAGAATGAGAAAATGTTTTTTGGTTAGGGGTTAACTCAGAGATATGGCATGAACTATGCAGAGAATACTGTGTTCTAAGAAGTGCTGAAAGATGCACTCTAGCAGAGTTATGCATAACAGAACCAAATTGGTTGGGGAAAAAAAGCTTTTAGTTATGGTTATACTACATGTATTTATAAAATATCAGATTTAATTCTGCACCTGTTGTAGTTCAGTTTAATTTAGGGCTGTTGAGTAACACCAATTTCTACATCTTGGTTCAGTCTAAGATCTTAGGAAACTGCACATGGTTTTCTCTCTAATTCCTCTCTGTGCCTCCCTTACTGTATTGCACTGAAAACTTTTAACATGGCCATAAAAAAACTTTCCCTAGATTAATGTTGTAAAAGGCAGATCTATAAAGTTTCTGATGGAACTACAGAATGGCCCAATTATGCTAAAGCCATGAAGTCTCTTAATTTATTTGCACATACAGCTGAAAAGTTGATTTTTTTTAGTACCTGTTTTTATTATTATTTTTTTATATATATAAAATGTCATTTCCACAGTTCGAAAAATAGGGATTTTCCTCTTGTGATTGTTAAATGAAATGTTCTAAGGTTAACAAGTGAAAAACAAGACGAAAAAGAAGTTGATACCACTCTCCGGATTACTTTGGAAAATTAAACCAAAGCCTCTAGCGGAGCATATTGGGCCCTGGAGATCCAGGTTTAGGGACCACTGCTTTATGCCGTGTTGCCATTTAATATAGAATAAATAATTTATACCAAATATTTAATCAAAGTCACCGCTAATTCACAAAGCAAAAGGCTTTCGAAAGGCCTAGCAAAGACTTAAATCCAAGTGAGGAGTTGTGGCATGACCCTAAAGAAGAGGATGTTCATGCTCTAGATCCCTCCAATGTGGCTGAATGAAAACAATCATTCAAACAAGAGTTGTTCAAAATTTGTCCACATCAATATAAAAGACTTGTTACTAATTGCAAACGCTCGATTGGAGGAGATCACAATTTTGTGGGCTCCTCTGACTCTGGACAGTCTGCGATTTATTTATTAATTTTTTTGTGCTCCTTCATGGTGGCGCCTCTTTCTTTTGTAGTTGTCTGTCTGAACACAGAGTTTATAAATTTGAAGAGTGTGTAGGTTTAAAAAAGCCCAGCATCATTTTGGTGCACATTCATACCGAACCAAAAAGTCCATAGTGAAAACCTTGGCTATGAATACATGTACAGTTACACCCTTTAGCAGGAACATCCTGTACTCATAAAAATGCCATGTTTAGTCACCTCTGGTAGCTCTCCAAAGCAGTCTTGTTTGGTGCGCTGTCGTTTAAATGAATGTGGTCAAAAAGACATGGTAAAGAATTTAAAATACATTTGATAAAACCATATTGCACTTATTGGCTGATGCGTACAAATTTTTTTGGGAATTGGATGTTGTGCTGTTGGTCAGAATTCAATATTAATTTGATTATATCAATCTTTGATATTGGCTGTCAGTGATGATACATCAATAGACTGACATGAGCTCCAAAAAGTCTTGATATTCTGTTGCGTTTTTGTCATTTCCTCTGCAGACTTTATGTGCAGGTCCATGCTAAGCCCAGAGGTTTAGGTTGTAGGTCATTTCCCATTGGGCTCGGGAAACGTCTGCAGAGGGTTTGTGATAAGAGTGAATTTTGAGTCTATGTAAACCTTATTAGGCCCTGTGTGCAGGGGGGTAATTCCAAACACCTGGGCTAGTTAACTGGGATTCTGGTGGATTAGGAGCTCTGTGAAGGCAAACCTGATCTTGCTTCTGGTTAAACCCATTTCCATTCTTGTCTGTTTATATTCGCCTCTTTTGTAGTTTCAAATTAGTCCACGGTTTTAATAATATTTTCTTCTTCTCCAGAGCAACTTTTACATTTTGGCAAAATAATCTATTCATGCTTTCTTTCCGGATAGATATATGGACTGAACATTCGTCTTTGATGAAAGATTTTAACAAAGGAAATGTATCTCAGATTGCTGGACAGTTATTGTTTTAAATCTTTCTTTTTTTTCATTTTTATCCATTAATCAACAGGAATGCATGAGCTGATAAGTAGGTTAGTTTTGGTTCCATGAAATTCCTGAAAACATTAAGTGAGTCGAAACAATTGATCTACTTTTAGAGGTGCTATATACATCTTTTCAGGTGCGTAAATATTTTTGTTTGAAAGTACTACAAAACAGCTGGATTTGTACTACCAGCCATTTTTCATTAAACTTTGATGCTTTAGAGTCGTCTTATTTTGGGTGTCCAAATCTTTATATGTTATAAGAGTGTTTTCAAACTGACATGAAACTTTGTTGAGAAATAAAGAGCAGGCGTCGGTTTTAAACCTGCAGCTGAACAGCTATGAAAATGACATTTGTTAGTCAGATGAATCAGACTAATTAGCTAATATCAGCTTGTTATATTTGTCCTACTCCATAAATATCAGTCCAACAAAATGTGATTTTTTTTCTTCAGTCTTTTTCATGAAAAAAGGAACTGTAGCAATGATTTATGAGTTTCTTTTGAATAAAACAATTCAATATAAATTTGTTTTAATGTTTTGAGCAAATAATGATGCTGTAGTATTTTCATTCAAGGGTGCAAAACCGTGGAAATAACTGTAACATGAGGATGTAAAGAGTTGACTTTTTCCTCAGTTTTCATTTGTACATAAGTATTCAACTTCGATCATATTCTCACAGATTTTTAACTGAAGAGGTTTTCAGTTCTGCATATGGTGACTTTTACTCCAGAGCCAAAAGTCATCGAATTGAAAAAGAAGTTTCAATTTGAGACAAGAAACTACATTACTGTGCAAAATCCTCCCCCTCTACTTATTTGAGCTGCCGTCACACTAATTAGACAGGGTCAATCTGGCTTATGACACCATGATGACATGCTGGAAACAGACATTGAGAGAGGTAGACCATTTTGGACAGGAGCCTAATCTTCACTGCAATTCCAATTAATACAATTTTAGCAGCTCCAAGGTTCAGACCTAAGTACCTTGCTGGTTTATACTTTCATTTTTACTTTTCTTAGACTGTCCCAAGACAACCGCAAGTGGCAAGAACCTTAAATTCTAAGGTCTACATTTCAGAAGTAGGATTTTGTTTCACTAAAAGTCAGGGAAATCAATTGCGCATGCAACAGATTTATGTCTATTGAATGTTGTTTTTGTTGATTCTCCATCTTCCAGGCTTTTTCTTCAAGCGCTTAAGACATAAAAAAGTCTACTGGTCACAACACACATCAGCAGTTATCTGTAACAGCTTACTTACTGCCCTTTCTCCCTGCTTTTTCCTAGATGTGGACGAATGTGCAGAGGCTCTGGACAACTGCAGCATCGATGCCATCTGTCAGAACACCCCAAAGTCTTATAAATGCATTTGCAAGTCTGGCTACAAAGGTGATGGCAAACACTGTGAAGGTAAGTCCCATGGTGCCTGATGTCTGAGATGTAAAACACTGCAAGCCTCTGTGCAAGCCTGCGAGGAATGTTGAGAGCACTGCGATGCATTGCCCTGTACAGCTTTATATACGCTTTTAGGGCCAGTGACAGACTTGATAAGAGGTTCTGTCTCAGCTGAAATAACTCATTAGCTTTGCAATTTTCCCAATGGGGGAGGAGGACCATCCGAGAAAGCTACAACCAGAGGAAAGTGGAAGCCAGGTGCAGAGTGCTCCTTTGTGACAAGATGAAATGAAGCAGTAAATTTCCTACACATGTTTGAGGAGAAAATTAAGATAGCGGCTGAAACGGCAGTCGGAGGCCCTGCCAAGCTGTCGGGGATATTCACACTGCCAGCAGCAGGACTTTCAGCCTAAACAAGTTTGTTTTTGTAGCCTCTTTTAATGTGCTCAAAACCTTCAGATCATTATATCCAACCATTTTTATTACTGCCTTTATAAAAACCATATTTCACAATGCTGTTTGTTTTAAACCAGCATTATTCTTTCATGTATTCGACTGGGTACTTTTCATGGCCTTGCGCCTTGGGTTATAAAAGTTTGTTTTATTGAGTCTGTTGTAAAATATTTCAGTTTCTTTTGAAGTGTAGGTTAGTTGAGCTTCTTAAGGATGTGAGAAACAACATTTAAAAGCAACATTCGTCAAATTAAAGCAAATCAAAGTGTTGCATTAAATCTTGGTACAACTTATAAAAGAGCCCTTTTTGGCTGACAGCAGCATCACCTTTCAAAACAATTTTTGATTGCTCTGCTGAGGTGAGCCGTGCAACAATATAAAGAAGACGCAAACAGTTTTTTTTATATGGAGGGAAAATAATAGGTTTTAAGTTCTTGTCATAGATGGAAATATCAAAAGTATGGCATGTGTTTGTATCCAGGCTGCCACCATAACTCCTTCCAGTACCTTCACCTCAATTACAGTTCTAAGTATTTTGAGATGGTTTTTAGGATTTAAAGACAACTTTTTACTTATTTTTATTTGCAAAATAGCTTAAGATTAGTGCGAAGAGTGATAATGTACATCATTTCTGAAGTCTTGTCAGAGATTCTTGGTTGAATTTATCGTTTGACTTTAACTGGACAATTTTGACACAATAAAGATGTTTTGATCTAAACCATTCGATTCTGGCTCTCTGTAGTCTCTCTGTGTGTGTATATATATCTATATATATTTACACACTTCGATCGATCGAGATAGATAGATAGCTTCTGCCTTAAATCACATTTTTCCCCCGAGTAACATTAAAGGTTTGAACTAAACAGCATAGGTAGGTTTGCAGTTGTTCCAAAGTTTTTGGTGATTATAAAAAAAACCCCAAAAAACTTGAAATATTGTTTAGTAATTTAAGCCTACTTCAAACTTTTCCACATAATAATTTCTGGCTTGTCTGGTGTGTTCTTTGGTCATCATAATGCTGTTCTTTCCTTAATGTTCTCTAACAAATCTCTGAGGCAAAGTTATGGCCTATGGAGCCTTAATCTCACCATAAATATAGAACAGATGTATTTATACTGATATTAAATAATACTCAGCTGGACTCTACTTTCTAACTTGGTGACTTCTGAAGGTTTTTATTTGTGAAAAAGCATTAAAAGCGTGTATTATGTTTCTTCCATTAAACAGTTATACACTGCTCCGTGTCAGTCTAGCACATAAAGTCCTAATGATATACTCTGTGGTTTATGGTAAAGTTCAAGGCAGATGAACACAACACCGTATTTTGGTAGCATATGTGTAGAAACCGGGGCATTGCACAACTCGTCATTCATCGGCTGCGTAAAGAGATTCCACATATGAGAGCACGGTGATGACAGAATCAGAACGTTTGTACGTTTTCTTTCTCCGATGGCAACAGAAAGATGGACCAGGGTTTAGGAATGCTCAGCAAAGTACAGATTATTTATTAAAGGATTTTCTGTGTGGTCAGGACCACAAAAATGTGCTACTTTACTTTCCAGCAGGACAACATAAACTAACCAGGCTTGAAATTGTTAGAAAATAACTTTCAAAAAAAAAATAAAAAATCTGAAAATCTTGTTTAGTAGAACAGAAATGGCTGGATGCTATTTTTGTAAGCTACCTTTTTATAAGATTTGAATTTTACTCATTTTAAGCAGACACAAATGACAATAGTATTGTAAGAAAGTAATATCAACATGATATTGTAAAATGTGACACTTGCAGTGATGTGACAGCTTTATCCAATAAAATCATTTAAACCCTCAGAGAAATGGCCTATAAGAGCGGATTAACATCAGGAATGACCTGTTTTCTGTGGACTACCTTGTGTTAAATAGAATAATTTTATGTCCTCAGTCCACCTTGTTTGGGCTCCAACACTAATCATAACTCCACTTAGGTTGTCATAACAATCTCCTATCTTCCCATCTTTCCATCTCTTTTTTTTTCTTTAATGTACCGTTTCTTCCAGTTTCAACCACTCTATCTCATCCAACTGCCTATATTTGCATTTTATCAGTGATTCATAGTTTGTCTGTAATCATCATTAAAAAATAAAGCAAAGACTAATTTTATTTCAAATTCCTTTCTGACTGCATACATGCTTGTGAAATCATTTTGTTTACTTTAATAGCTCCGACTCGTTAGTGTCCTAGCCAAAAATATGTTTTGTATGACTAACTGCATATTTTGCCACTGACTTTGTTCTCTGCTTAATGGTAGAGGTTTTTAATGTCCCATGTTTATAAAAACGCTGTTGATACTTGTAGAATGCTGCCTGTAATAAAATTCCAAGGGGGGTGAAAATGGGGATGTCTTGGCATGAATTTGGTCAAAACTTTAGGGCATTTAAAATATAATAAAACCTTGGCTGTCAGTATTAGGCTTTAAAAGCTGAACAATAAAAGTCAGAAAAATGGTGGCGGGTGTCCAAGTTACATTAGTAGCAGGTGAATCAGCTTTTTGCCTCAGCTTGTTAGTCCTCTGAAGTACTCGTTAGGGAAGACGAGAGCAAAACAAGGGGACATATACTTTTTAGAATTGGAAGGAATACATTTTAATTTAATGATTGAACATTTGAAAATAGAAATATTTGAATAGCATGAAACTTGAAAGAGCATTTTGGAGCAACATAATGTATTTTTGTTCTCACTAAAATCAATCTTCTTGTGTTGAGGGTTCGTAGTTTAGACAATTCCCAGCTGAGTGATGATTTGTATGGATTCCTGGGGTTTTACATCTGGAATAATACTGTCGCTATGCAAAATGAATAGCTCTGAATAAAATGGTAGCAAATCGGCAAAATGCTTGACAACCCGTCGTCTTCTCATCACTTTAGCTTAACTAAAGTCATTTGTTAACGTTTGACATGTTGTTGTGCACAGCAGGTAGACGTGTAAATTTATCTTTCAGTAAAGTAATATAATCTGAGTCTGAACATTTTAGAAAAAATCTTACCTTTAAGTATTTTGACTCATGTTAATATATGTTTATTTATTATCTTCCTAGCCATTTTTAACATTTTCAAATACAAGTATAAAAAAGAAAATACACAATCCTGAAAAAGGACAAAACTAATAGAGAAATAGATCATGGCAGTGGCAAGAACAAAGCGTTGAAGTGTTTTTACAAAATTACCAATTTTTGCACCAACCTTGTCACTATCCACATCCTTGTTTAGATAATAAGTTTTTTTTTTCTGTGTATTTTTATCATAGAAAATAGGAAAATTTATCTTGGGATGCTAAAGTAACTAGGTGCAATGCTACTTGACACAATCATGGCTGTCGTTTGCAAAGCAGTTAATCCACAATTTTAATTTTATTTTTACAGCTGATTGGCTGTATCCTCAATAACAGAAGTTAAACAGGTTATTGTAATTCTAAAATGGTTTTCCCTGTGCTTGTTAATGACTATTAACGTATATTTGGTGTGTGAACTGCAAAAATAGGGCGTTACAACTGTTTTAAGGGTTCAATATTCACATATTTTAACTATTTGCGGGCTATAAAACATTTGTATTGAAACATCTCTCCTCCGTTTGGTTTAATTTGGTTTGGTTTAATTTAGAACTTGCTTTGACCAGTTCTGAATAGATTTGTTAATTCTTTGTTATTTCTTCAACATAGTAAACAGTGAGCATGAGATGCATCTGGATGCTGTAATCTTGGATTCATGTCAACCAATGCGGTTGGGTTGTTTCTATAAAGCTTAGTTTTAGTCTCACTTCAGCAAAAAATTTTGCTCTATTGAAAGTCACCACAGAGTTTGGCAAACACCACAAATTTTCATTTGTAGCAGAAAGAGCAGAAAGTATGTTTTTCAGGTCTTGTGTCTGAACACCTGGTTGGCATTTTGATGATTTTAATGAGGATTTGTTGACTCCAAGAAGTCATTTGTTGCAGTTCTCCAACACAAAGTTTTGGATATCTTCTTTAACATTTCTTGCCATCATTGTGCATGTTTGCAAGATAAATGAAGGGTCCTGAATCAGTGACCATTAGCTTAATTAAATACATATTTGGTTCACCCCAAATGAAAATGAAGTCATATGTTACTAATCAAAAGGTCCTTTACACTCTGATCAACTTAAAAAATAAAATGCTCAGTCACAGTAGTTTTATGGGAATTATTAGAGGTGCAAATAATTGTGGCACTGATCATTTTGTAAAATGCAATTATTTCCTAACCTTGTCCTTTCTCATCTGTGAATAATTATACTTATGGTAAATTAGAGGTTGGGCTACTAGTGTTTTTGTATGAAATTATGCTACTGCAATAAAAGACAGATTTGTTTGGAAAGCTGTTGCACATCTTGACCAAGGGTACCAGTAAATGTGGAGTGTGCTATAAACAGAAAACATAGCGTGCTGTGCTAAGTAAAATCTTTTTTGGGAAATAACATCAAAACTTGCTCTGTCTCTTTATGGCACAAATGAAGACAAAGGGTCTGAATGTTCCTAACAGAATTATAATGGAAACAGCTTCAAAACACCTTTCATTATGTCCTTTAGCTTTAAAAACTCTCAACCGTCCTTTGTGAATCAAGAGATTATTTTGTCTCCGGATTCTTTGAGACTGCAGCTCTTTAAAGGAACTGTAGCAGACTTTTACTAATTAGCATCCCTGTTAATAAATATGTGGTTGAGATCTAAAGTGTGAACAGCACAGCTGAGCAGCCAGTGGTATTTAAAACTTTGCAATGTTTTTCTTTTATTTTTCCAACTGCTTTTATGTAGCAATATCTGTTTTATTTAACCACCATCACTAATACAGCAAAGCTTCCATGATGCATTGGAATAATCTATGTATTTAAGTGAGTTTTTGCTGACTGTTTCAAGTTGCAGTTATCACAGCTTAGCTGGAGCTTAGTGTCAGTTATAGTGCAGCTTTCTTTGTGTACATATTTCCATATTCTCATCACACTTAAAACATTAAATAAAAAGATAGCGATGGTAAAATACAATGAGAAATCATTTATTGACTGTTTAATGAAACTGAATAAGGTAAAGGAGTTCCTCAGAGTAAAGAAAAATTGAGTTTCTACATATTTCAGCTTTTTAATGCATCAGCTTTTGCAGGTTTTTGTTTTGCTGCTTTCTGTGAAAGTTTTGCTTTACAATTTTAGTCTGAAATTGTCTGGTATGAACTTCAAATCGGGCAGTAAATATCATAAAAACTACATTTAACATTAAATCATATTTTTAAAGGCACAATTAAAAGTTTTGAATTTCAGGAACTGTTCAGAGCATGATAGCAATAACAAATATTTTCCTTTTCATTGTTTTTCATTGAATTTCAGCTTTTTTTCTTTAGTTGTATGTTGCTACTTGAACTCTTCTATTATTTATTTTTCATTTAAGGTTTAAAGTAACTTTTAATTTAACCAATTGCATCTGGTTGTAAATAATGTTTTAGAGTCCTGACTTGAATCCGATAGAGAATTTTTGGAGGGAACAAAATCCAACTTCTAAGACCTGAAGTTCTTCACCAATAATAAATTGTTCAAATACTGGTAGAGTGACCCAAAATTAGTCAGCATTTAAAAGGTTTTTCATTGATTATTGCATATAATCATAATAAATAGAAGGTTAAGGTATGATACAGCTCAACATTACATTTTTATACATTAAAACAGATATAATTGTGCTCAAAACTGGTACTACTTCTATTATGTTACCTTTTGCGGGTTTCATTTTGCAAAAAACACTTGATTGAACATTTAGATTCATATCTGTGGGGCGTATCACTAATTTTGAGTTCAACTGTAAGCATGTTCAGACCTTTATTTATTTTGATCATTTCCCTGCAGATGTCGATGAGTGCGCGACTGAGTACAACGGAGGGTGTGTCCATGAATGCATCAATATCCCAGGAAATTACAGGTGCACATGCTACGACGGTTTCCGTTTGGCCCACGATGGGCACAACTGTCTCGGTGAGTAAATCTGCTTGTATAGTTCCAGCAGCAGCAGCCTTTCTTCTGCATGTTTTTGTCAAAGGTTTTAACTGGAGAGCTGAAGTTGTCATAGAAAAATCTATTAAGAATATGTATCACACTATAACTTGTTTTTTCAGCATGCCTAAGGTCTTTTTAGGAATGGGGATGTATAACTGAAGGCTGGTTTGAACTCTTATTAATCTGCTGCTTCAGATATCTGTTACTTCCTTGCTCAAGGAGCGGTTATTCTACACATATGTTTTTACAAAAGGAAAATTTAAACCTTTTTATAATAAGCAGGATGAAAGGGAGAAAAAAATGATGAAAAGCTTTACACTGAGCTGAGAGCTCAGAGCGAGCCGTGAATCGTCGATTTTTCCCATGGTGTAAAATTTCACCAGTATGTTGTTCAACCTGGCCTCATGCAGGACCTGTAACGCTTAAACGGTTGTGAAATTAAGGGGGATACAGCTCCCTTGCTGCTGCTGCTAGTTGCTTAACATAGACATCATCCACCCACCCCCATTCTGTTTCTCTGTCTTGCTCCTTCTTTCCCGTTCCCCCACCCTACATTCCTTTTGTTTTGCTTTGAAACCCCCCAGTCAAACCCACTGCTCCTCAGAAATCATCTCTCCAGGCTGCTATTTCAGCATGAAGCGTCTTCTTTGATTTCTTTGAGGAGGAAAAAGGCGTCTTGTTACAGCAGGTTTAGCTCTGAGTTCAGGTGATGATTGAAAAATGTATCAACAGTTAACAGTGATTCAGTGTAAAAAGCTTTTACATGTGGGCACTGTGGCAACACATTTGTATTACTCCCACATTTACCCAATGAGCTGCATGTAAGGCTGGGATTAAGGTACGCTGGAATGGAAAATGCATTTTTAGATTAGTAATAATCTTGTCCTGACTTGACTGTGAACCCCTGGCTCCCTTGTGCTTTTGCCTTTCTCTCCCTCTATCTTCATCGCTTGTGTCTGCAGTATAAATTGAGACTATTTTCCAAGTCATTTAGCAGCAGCGTCCAGTGGCTCATGGATCATTTGTCGTACTATGGATCAGCTACTGCCTTGCGTGCAGGTGTGTAATTGTAATCCGCGGTTGTCAGGCTGCTGCGTCAAAGTTGCGTCTATCAAGCCCTTTGATAGTTTCTCAAAGTGAAACTTCCACAACCTGAGGGAATGTTTGTTATATTTTTACGTAAACGGGATTTCGCTCAAATCTTTCAGTACATCTGTCATCTAACGGCTTCCATGCTCTTGTCACTTAAACGGCGTGATGCTCAACATTTGATGATGAGCACTTCTCTACTTGACAATGTTTTTTGCATATCAGGAAGTGATGAGAAGTTCTCTGATCTCGGAGCCCAAGGGGCATGCTGGGGTGGTGGGAGGTCAGAAGCAGCAGAAAGCGTGCAGGCTGGTGCAGCATATAACATCCAAAGTACAGCTGGAAGTTTTGCATCTTAAATAGATTGGCCAAATAATTAGGGCATTCTTGACATATTCTGCAGCTTGTGAGTCATCACATGTGATGGAGCAGCACAAGTTAAGTTGACTGCTAGACGCAGCTTGTAGCAGTTGCTTCATTTGTTGGAAAGTGCACGAGCCACTGTGGAAAAACTTTAAGATAAAGTTTGAGTCCTTTTCATTTTTTTTCTCCAAAAGAATCGTGATTCTGCCAAATTAGTAAACATACACCTTATCTTTACACCTAACTCATTGATATTATACAAGGAGTGAAGGAACATGTCATGTTATGTTGAATATGAAGACGCATGCCTTTCCTTGAGAAATTTAACTCCTTTTGGAAAGTGTTTCTATGCAGTTTGTTCATTCATTTGTATGCCCACCATCCATCTGTCCTTCCATCTATCAATTCATAAACCCATACATCGGCCCATGCATCTCTCCCTTAGTCCATCAGTAGTTGAGGCGTCAAACTCCAGAGGTTTGGTATCCTTCAAGTTTTTGATACATCCCAATTCCAGTTCACCTGAATCAGATCACTAAACTGCACTCAGGTTCATGCGGAGGTAATTCGAGTCCTGCTAATCACCTAATTATACAATTCAGGACACATGTAATAGTTAGAGAAAGTTGACCCTCTACAGTTGGATTATAATTGTAGAGGGTCAACACCTCTGTCATCTGTCCACTCAATCATCAATCAGTCTGTTTATCCATCTCTTATCTAGATTTAGTAATTACATCATCAGAATAACGAAAAAAGAATTTGGGATCTTTGCTCAATGAGTAGGAACCCAGTTTTAAAGAAGTATCTTTTTCCTAAGAATTGAGTTCCTTAATACCTGCGCTCTGCACTGCTAAGGTAATAATCCTCAACACAAACACAAGTGAGGAGAGGAAGCAGTGTAGCAGAGGTTTCATGTTAAGACTCCAACTTCCTTTTCCTGCTTTAAGCTCTTTTCTGGCCCCTGAGAGAAGATTAGTATTCCTTGGCCTGGGAATAGAGAGTCTAAGCAACTGGTTCCCATACAAGGTCGGATCCTCAGAGCCCAGAGCAGGAGAGGCAAACCTTTTTAATTCCTAAGAGTTAATTCAGTTTTGAGTTTGCAATCTTCAAAGTACATTACCCTATGTTCTTCCACAGAGATGCATTGATTTGATCTCCACATTGCTTTCCTCTTTGTGGTTTTGGTGCACTTTGAACTCAGAAGGAGGTACAAAGCTTTTTTGTTCCAGGAAACAATGTTTGTGACTGTCACTTAATTAACACAAGTTAGGACAGCGTACATGCATCCCTGTCTACTTCTTCCTGCTGCATGTGCCTCACAGCTCCTGAAAATTGGATGGGTTGGCAGTGTAATAACATTGGGCGGTGGCAGAAGGCATTGAAGCGTGAAGCAGAACGCGCAGCTTGTGTGCCTCACTTGGGGACGCTCTGGTTTCTGAGGTCTTCCCTCTGTCGACCCTGAACCCCCACAAAGATGTCAGAAAGTCAGCAAGGTGGAAACAATGCAATATCACAGCAGACCGCTTCTGTCAGCGTGGAGAGAGATGTCACTCACTGTATAATTTATTTCACACAGAGCTATTGTGCCTGACTGAAAAAATGGATATGAGCCCTGTAGAACTGTAAACATTTTTGTATTTCAGAGACAGAAAATTAAAAAAAATCATATTCTGCATATTAATGCAGCTTTTAAATTAAGTTATTTTAAGACATGTGAATTATTACGAGAAAATTAATTGTATTCAACACATTAGACTTACTAAGTTTGAGTGGCTTGAATAATCCTAGCATTGAAATAACATTTTTACATCTTCATTAGTGTATTCCACTTTATTCCACAAGTGACACATGTGAGACATTGATTGTGTAGAGAAAATTGAGACTTGCACAATTCCCTAACAAAGTTTTATGGTGACAGAAACAGGAGGGTTGGCATCTGTGAGTATAAGAGAAATGATGCTCGTCAGAAGTGGAGCAGAAATTGTTTCAAACGTCACACTTTGCGTTTTTCCTCTGCAGTGAAGCACAGACAGACTTGGCTTTGACCCAGAGAGCTTTTCAGTTGTTCCAAAAGGTGCCAGTTTGACAAGTCTCTAAGCAACCGCACTCCTACTCAGACCATATTTCTCCCGACCTCCCTCTTATATCACCATTTAAAAGTTCATTTTATGAACACAAATTAGAGCTGGAAATTTTGACATTCCTACTTTTATCTTAGGTAGAAATGTTGGTAATCATCGATGCCAGAGTTCAGTTCCTCAAATGTAACATGACTTTTTGGAACTTTACCCTTGTGTGTGATTTATTTATACATTTTATTCTTTTTTAATCTGACAGTTCTTTTGTTTTATTTTTGCATAATTTTTTTAGACTTGAAAAGGAATATAACTATCTTGAGCTATCAGTCTGATCAAAACTGAAAAGAAAAGTTGTCACAATTATGACTTCTTATTGCATATTTTTATTCATGACAGAATTATAAGGAAATTAATGATTTAATTGCACCTATCCCATGGCAAAGCTATAAAAAAGATATGTTTTTTGAGTTGGAGGAAAAACTAAGGAATCAATGTCAATTTAAACCAAAACAAACATCCTCTTTGCAATGAAAACCAGATGCAGGAAGCCTGATCTGTTCCCCACCATAACACCAGCATCCCCACATTTATGACCTGTGTGTTTTGGTTAGGGTCCCACAGAAACCAAAATACACTCTTATCATTGCTAACTTGTCAGTCAAGCAGCTTAATATCATAAGCATCTTTACAGACAGCCTCTTTCCTCACAACCGCAAATACGTTTTTTCTTCTATCTGGAGCTAAACGACACAAATAAAGATATTTCTTTCTGTTCTGTAAAAAGAAATGCCATGGTGGTATACAGCCTGAGAGTGACTCACTTGGGAAAGCAAAGGCAGGCTTGAAATAGAAATTATAGTTGTTTGACAAGAGCACCACCAGACTTGTGTCTCTGCCTTGTTTACTTGCATTCATCATTCTGCTCTGTCTCGTGTGGCTCCCCTGTCGCACAGGAACAAATACACACACCTTGGCAGGCCATATTCCTTTGATTTTTATTGACCGACACTGATTTGGTTTGTATTGATTGAAAAGGCTTCAATTCCCTCTGCAATCTATAGGGAAATGAATGTGCTTTTACTTTAACCTTCCCCAAAGACGCGACATGATCTATTACATAAAAGCAGCCTTATGGGAGAAGCCTCTGAGGTATGGCTTTGAAATAGCAGGTAGGAAAAAGTCACCTCCTTTCACTCTCCTCGCTTAATGGTTGTAATTGCACCGAGACATTGTGCCATGTAGGAAATTCGGATTTGTCTCGTTTGAAAAACTTTACTTGATTTTTGAAACACTTGAGTTTTTCTGCAGCTTTCATAATCCCCTGTGATTAAATGAAAGGAAGCAGCATGCTGATGTATCGCTGAACAGGTCCTGACATCGAAGAGATCAGTGACCTTCATGCTGATTTCCTCTGCAAGGTTTTACATCCATTTGCTTCTCCTCCTG